AACCCCACAGCTCTCTAGGGCTATGGTTATAGCCACAGGGAAAACCAGAGGTAAGAGCAAGGACCACTGTGCCCTATATAGGGGTCATCATCCCATTTGTGCAGCCAAAGCACAGCATCTAACAGCAACTACAAAGCAGTGCTTGATCTGCAGGGGGACATGTCTAGGCTAGGGCAGAATACAGACAGCTAGTCTCAGAGCTAGAAACATATGGAATCCTGGGGCCCAGCTCCAAGAATATTCAGTTCCCATAACACAGATATTTCAGCTCCACTTCCCAACTTTGTTTCATACACACATGCAGAAACACACACGTGTTCTTCAGTTTCCAGGGATAAATACCCACTTTATGGACACAGTAAGAACTATCAGCTACTTGGGGTTTCAGGAAACGGGTGGGGGAAGAAAGGAAGAGTATCCAAGTGACCTAGCCTCATGAGGCAGGCAGAAGTGGACCAGCATCCAGGGAGGAGAGGGCCTGAGATTTGGGTGAGTAACCTGTGGAGGCCCGGCGCCTTCTGCCTTCAGCAGGAAGGATTTCAGTGAGATGTGCAGAATCTCAGGGCTGCAAGGAACCCTACTGATATTTTACAAGTGAGGAGAGGGATTTCAGTGATTTCCTCCGAGGCTCAAATCCTTAGGCTCTGCATTTGTCTAAACCCGCTGGCACCATATATCTCTATATCCGTGGTGCCACTTGAGGCTGGCATTGGGTGGGCATGGGAACAGGAGAGTAGCCAGTCCAGTGTCAGGTGGCTGGTGGGGGAGGGGAGTCTCTGTCCCCTCTTAGCCCAGGTGACTAGCTCCTGTACCCCCCAAACGTCTCTGGGTTGACCGTTGTTTCTCTTCTATACCCAAGGCCCAGCAGTCCTTCTGTTTCCAGACTCTAGTCTTCTGAGCTGAAGAAGCTGTCCCCAGGTCTGGGCCTCTTACGGGCACTGCCAGCCTCAGAGCAGCTCTGCAGTTTCCAGCCCTGACAGGGACTCTTTCTTATAAGTGGTCATGTGCTAGGGATATGGGACGTCAAAGGAGGCCCACGCCCTGACATTTGGGGACCAGAGCTGGGGGCAAGGACTGAGTGGGATCAGGCAGCAAGCTCTTCCAGCTCCATCTTCTCAAAAGGTCTGAAGCCCTTTGTTCCCTTCCCCTGTCCTCAGTTCAAGGCACTGGACCAAGCCATTCCACTTCTTTACTTCTCCAACTAAAACAAAACTCACATTGCCCCCACTTCCTTTTTTCTCTCACCAGAGTACTTCACACACACACACCCGCCCTGAGTCATGCATACACATTCACATGTGTGTGAATGCACACTTCACATTCCCAAACTCACACCCAGGACCAGCTCCTTTTACAATAGGTCCCAGCTGCTCACATCTCAAACCGGTTCTCATGCTCTCAGATTCCTGAAGGTTTCAGAAAACAATCTCATTTGAGGGCTGCTGATGACTGTCTTCTTTCTCTGCCTGCAGTAATTCTGGCCTTAGTGTCTTCCAGTCCCCTTTCTCTTATTCCACCCTGCAGAGACTCAAGGAGATGAGAAGGAAGGGGTTGAAAACAGGGAAGAGTCTCTGTACTCTCCCACCCTGAGGCTTTCCCCACCTCTGAGACATGTCATGAGAGAAGAGAGGTCAAAGGGATTCCTGAAGAATTTCTAAGCAGTCCACCCTCTTCTCCATCTTCTGGAAAAATGGGGGGTGGGCTTAGAGGGAACTGACTAAAGATTGGGTTCTGAGTGGGGACTCTCCCTCTCTCCACTGTGGCCTGGATGGGGCACAGGCAATAGCCGGCTGCCCACGGGGCCACCCTTACCCGCTGACACGGTTATGGTTTTCATTTCATATTTTGGAGGGAGGGGCTAGGAGGAACAGTCCCCTCACTGTAAGAGCTGGCCACAGGAGCCCAGGGAAGCGGGGAGGAGAGGAAACAGCCACATTAAAGAGGAAGAGAAGGGTGGGGGAAAGAAAGAGACACATACACCCAGACAGAGACCCGGAGAGACACACCGAGACAGAGAGACACTGTTTGCCACCACACGAACGCTCTCAGTCCCAGGGATGGGGTTACTTGGAAATTCTAAATGCATGACTTTATCAAAACTCTATCCCTAACAAGGAGAGAAAACTACCAGGTAAACTAAACGGCCAGGCTGGCTCTCCTGGAGCCAGCCCTGGGGACAAGTTTCCCTGGAGGCCGAGAGACCTTTTCATTCAGCTGTAACCTGAGCCCTATGCCAGGATTAGGTCTTTTTAACCACTGCTTCCACCCCCCCCCCCCCCACCAAACACCCACCCCCCGACCAAAAGCAAAGCAAATTAATGCTTTTAAGTTAACAATTATCTTGGTTATCCAGTCTGTCTACTTTAAAATATACAGACAAGCACTTGAAAAACACTCAAAACCATGTCCCCTCATGCTCCCTCCTTCCCAGTCACACAGGCTTACCCACCCACTCTTCCATACAGTTCTCACAGACACTAAAACAGCAGTTTACCCGTAGCAACTACGTTACAAGAAACACAGACATCCAGCTATGTTGCCTGTTGGTAATTGTGGTGAACCTCTCATGTGTGCACACTCGCACACTCACCTTTACACTTAGGGCTCCCTTCCTTGTCTCCCCCTTTTCCCCCTTCCACATGCCTTTGGTTTTCCCACTGTGGGAATCACTGATGAAAAGGGACAGAAACCCAGATACCCCCAGAGGTATAGTAACTCTGTACAAGATACTTGCCAAGGGTATTTGATTTTAAAAACCTGCTAGTGCTTCATATGAAGCATGTGGCTGGCATTAAAGGCACACTTTCTGGCACTGCTGATAACCAGGAGATAGTTTGAAGGCATGTCCTCCCTGATGCTCACAGACTCTGTCTATGGGTAAGGCTGTAAGGCTGCCCCGCCTGGTCAGTACTAGTTCTTCCTGCAGCATCTGCCTGCAAATTTGTGTCCAGAGACATCCCTGTAACCCAGTAAACCTGCTATTAGGCAACCTCTGGCAGATGGGGTTTGTAGATTTCCTGAAGAGAAGGGTCAATGAAAGGCTTCCATTCTAGGCCAAGCTTAGGGATCAGAAGAAAAGAAGGAAGATACCAAGCTAACTGCAGTCCAGTCACAGGAAGGGTGGCCTGTGAATGAGATAAGCTGGAAACAAAACTACTCTTCTATAAGTTCCTTGAGGGCAGGGGCCTCCACTCTGGCAGCATGTTCCTCAGTACCCAGCAGGGAGTCCAATGAAAGGAAGCCCTGGAGTACCATGGAGGGATTCTGACTGCCGTTCCTGAATCACCGGTGAGCTGATCTCCCGTACTTGAATGCCTTGGCTTGATGGCACCTGTCCCTTGGAGGGGTCTCCATCTGCCCCTGGGCCCCCCTTGAATACACTGCTTCTCCTTTGGTCCGCAGCCTCACTAGGCCACTGCAGACACTGGCTCCAACTTGAAAGAGGCCCTTATCTTGTCTCGAGGTTACTTCATGAAATCTGTTCCTTCCTTCAGACTAAACTCCCTAGCTAATTCCATGTTATGAGTAAGTCAGCACACACTACAAAAGCCAGCTTTGTTTATGAAAACACAAATCCACAGTGAGGAAAGGGGCTGCTCCCAGGTTGGGGGTGGCAGTGGTGGTGGGCTGTCTGGAACCAGGACTGGAAAAGAGGCAGTGTGGGGTTGGAAGGTGTGGGGGTAGGGTCCAGTATTTGACAGCTGAGGGTCTCTAGTGTTTCAGTTCTGTGAAAGGACAGGTTGGAGGGGGAAGAGGTTAGCTGAAGAGGCAGTGTTTGGGGAGAGGAAGGCGGCATTGATACAGCACCTTCCTTTTCACAGAGCAGGAGTCCATCCAATACAACAGAGCAGCTTAAGAGCCAAACGCTCAGGCTCTGGGACACAGTGACCTGTGTCGGACACTCAGGCTTCCCCAACTCCCAAGTTCAACTTTCCTTCTGGCCCAGCCACCTCCTCACCCCAGCTGGCTTCAGGAGTCCCTGGGACAACAGGCAGAATCGTACTCTCCTGGGCAAAACCTTGCCAGGGGGAATTTTCTTTTTGTCCATATAAATCTCTTGTCGGTGAGGACACGATGGGGGAGGGGTACAGCAAGAGGTCAAGGGGGAGGAGAAACTGTCCCGAGAGAACTGTGGTACATCAGCCTAGTCTGTGCCTGCACAGCCTTGGGACCTGCCAGGCGATGAGCTGGGGGTCAGGGACGGGGGCAGGAGGCCTCCCTGTCTCTCTTTAATTCCTAGAGGGATCTGTCAGAGCTCCCCAGCCTGGAATTCTACTTTGTTATTTTAATGCAATTCTGACCTGGATTTAAATGGAATTGGAAACCCGAGGCCTTAATAAATAAATATTATGATAAGAAATGAAAGCCATGCAAGACGAAAGAGATTTCCCCCCAAAGAGGCAGAAACGCAACATTCCTGTCGGGAGCCAGTCACAGAAATTTTCTTCTCTTCAGCCCCCTACCATCCGGTGAGAGATGAGTTGTTTCCATAAAAGATCCTATTTTTCTTCAACATTTTTCCACTGATAAGGCATCAACTTAGAAATGTCTAACTTTGCATGCGGGTTGGGGGTAAGGGAAAGAAATATACGGCACGGCTGAAAAGTTTTCATTATTCCCTTAGTCTCTCCAGGCCACAGCGTAAGTTTCTGGCAATGTTTGAGAGAAGAGAAAATTCTCTCTCAGATTTTGGAGGACAAGAAGTCTTTCCAAGATGCTGGGGGTGGATGAAGTCGGGCGGAATTCTGAGGCGCGTGGTCTCTTCTGCCCACCGCCCTCAGAGCTTCTCACTTCTCTCTGCCGCCCCCAGCTCGTCCGGCTTTTCGCTCGGGGCGCAGCGCCCAGCGGTCGGGCCCCTGGCCGGGGAGTCCGGGTGCACAGAGCCGGGTCCTGACAGCAGCACGCTCCCCAGCACCTGCCCTGCCCCTCGGGAATCACGCCTAGGCCCTGAGGCCCAGCAGCCGGGACAGCCCCCAGGCCGCGCGCCCCTCCTTCCTTACCTTGCGCGGCTTTGCTGTACTGGGCGGCGCGGGCGTGGACCAGCAGGACAAGCAGGCAGAGCCCGGGTACGCGCCCCGAGCCCATGGCAGGAACTACTGGCGGCCCAGCCGCCGGGGCCGGTCTCGCGGCCAGGGGAGGGCGGAAGCCGGCCGGATCCCAGCGCGCAGGAGGGGGAGGGGAGGGGGCGCCCCGCCGGGGCCAGGCCGGGGGCTGCAGTCGCGGGGCGCGGACCGCGGCGCCCTCGGCGCGAGGCTCCCGATGCTACCGGCTCCTCCTGACCGGACGTCGGGGAGAGCGAGGCGCAGAGTGCGAAGAGGCGAGGGGCGCCCGGGGCGACTGACGGAGGGGAACCCCCGCCCTCTCCAAGCCGGCCTCTGCCAGCGGCGGCGGCGGGGCTGCTCCGTCTAATCCCACCCAATTCCCAGCTTCGCCGGGAGAGAGCTGCAGCCGGAGAGCGCGCAGAGCCCGAGCGAAGGACCTGAGAAAGGGGAGGGGAAACGCAGCGCCAGAAACACGCCCTTTCTGCCTCTTTCTTCCTCTCTCGCTCTTTCTCCGTCTCTCAGGCTCTTTTTCTTCGCCTTTCTCCTCCTCCTCCTCTTTCTCCTCCTCTCCTCGCTCCTTTTCGTTTTCTTCCTCCTCCCCCTCCTCCTCCTCCTCCACCACCTCCTTTTTTCGTGCCCTTTTTTCTTTCAAATGGGGCCTCGGCGCGGCGGCCGCTCCCCCTGCGCGCCCGGGCGCGGTGGCCCCCTCCCCAGGCTGCCGGGCCGCTGCCTGCAGGAATTTACAATCCGGCGCTGGGGGAGCGGGCCCGGTCTCCATGGAGACGGCTTCCCCGGGAGCAGAGAGGTCAGGCGCAAACCGTGCACAATCAATGGATCAATGCAAGCTCCGCTCGGCTCCAGACCAAACAGCACCGGGCTCCGACTCGTCCTCGCTCCCCTAGGAAAGAGTCGAGGAGCGACGGTGCGTCCCCGCGCTCACACGCGAGGACGGCCGTGCGGCGCAGGTTTGCACGCACACCTCCACCCGAGACAAAGAGGGAGCGAGGTGTTCGGGAGGCCGGGGCAGACGTGGACACACGGGCACTCGGGCGTGTCCACCGACACAGCCTGACAGAGGACATAGGACCTCGGAACACACCGCCTCCGACACCAGGCGGAGTAACACCCTCTTAACTTTTACACCTACCACACCCCTACTCTCAGGACTCAGTCCCCATTCCTAGATCCGAGTCCACTTTGAGGACCAAAAAGAAAGTAGCCTCCGCCTGCTAAAACTGCCAGTTCCAGGACAGACTCCCTTGCAGTTAGGGCCTTGGAGGTAAGCCCACTGAACCACCCTACCCGTAGAGACTTGGACTCATATACAGACACTCTCGTGTGCTCAGCACAGGGGCAAAAGCTACCCAACAGAATCATGTCTATGTGTATAAACACAAAGACATAAAGACAGGTACAAGAGGCTCCTCCAAACCTGCACGCCGCTTCAAGAGGTGGTCCTGACTGGTCCATTCTTAACCCTTCATCCCTCCAATTGAAGGGGAGCAGAGGAAAGAGAAAGGATATTTTTAAAACAGGGGCAAACTGTGCAAAAGGAGCAGTGTCTTCCAAACATGGATGCTGCCTCTTGACTGTTCACCCACTCTGTATCTTCTTTCCTTCCATTGTAAGGGAAAGAGGAAAGACCTCTTGAAAGGTTGTGAGGACTTTCTTGGAGTGTGAGGCTGTGTTCAGAATGAGACCAGGCCAGGTTCAATTTTCTACAGGGAAGATGCTGCTAGGACCCAGACTAGCCTCACAGAGCCCTCAGCGTACCCAGGAGGAAGAGGCAATGACCAAGATCTCCTCAAAAGAGATTCAGTTCTGAGACCCTCAATATTGGCTGCCCACATCAGCTGGGGCAAGGGGAGGGCTTTGTTGGCAATGGTCCTGTCCGCTGGGGAGAAGAGCTGAGCCCTTCCTTTCCTAGGGATTCAGTGGAAAAGTAGATGGAAACAGACTCAGACTTCTTATCCTGGGATGAAGATTACTTTTGAACAAGTCATATCTCAATGGGCCTCAGTTTCCTCAGAAAATGAGGGTGGTGGATTCACTCAGTGGTGGAAAGGGGGCAGTGCCCCAAGGAAGCCTGGGGGAGGAGGCCTGGAGAACCTTGCATAGCATCAAAGATGACCTTTGGGATGCGAGCACATAGATCATGGGAATGGTGTGGAGGCCACAGAAAGGCTGGGTCAGATGATTGAGGTCCCTCCCAGCCCTGCCACTCTAAGATGCCCTCCCTCCTTCATTCCACTGGCAAAACCCTCCCCTTGCAGCAGTTTTGCCTGCTGCCACCAATTATGTGTAGGGTTGGAGGACAAGTGTAAACTTGCCATCCTTTTTGCCCCAAACAAGAGAATGGTTTCAAAAAAAGAGAAAGAATTGGAGGTTGCCGGATGGTGCCTGTGATCTCCATGGGGGCACAGGGAGAGAGAGCCGAGGAGCCCCCCCGCAAGGCTGGGAGGGGAGATGGCACGCTGCCTTGCTTTGCTTTGCCTGTGCCTTCTTTGGACACTAGTGTAGCTCCTCTGGGTCCCTGGGGGGATGGAGGGAGGGCCCCTACATCCTCCTTGAGGTGGGCAAGGAGGATTTTGTAGGGGGATTGTGGGTTATTTTGGGCCTTCAGTTCAGGGTGATTTCCTGGCCCTCTGAGTACGGATATTTCCCTGACTTTCAGGGAGGGAGGCTTAGGTGGGTTCTTCCACCTAAGCCACTATGTCTCTGGAAGATTGGTTTTTTTTTGCCCCCTAGTTGCCTTTTATCTCATCCTACCAGTTTTCCTCTGATGATTTCCTCTTTTCCTCTTGGACCAGGTGAGCTTCTCCTCCACATCTGGGCAAAAAAAGGCTGTTCCCTGCTCTTCTCTCCTGCTGCCACTCACCCAATCTGATTCCAGAGTACCCTCAGCCCTTCAGAGTATTCTATAAGAGTAGAAGCAGGGCTTATATTACCAGGACACTGTGAATTGAGGTGCTGGTCCAATTCACATTGCTTTTTGCCCTGTCCTCTTCTCCAGGGACTCAGTTGGACAGTAACTCAGGAAGATGACAGGGAAGGAATAACAAGATGGCACTTGCAAGTGGTACTACAAAAGCAGCAGCAGCACGTGCCATATCATAACTAGCAGGGGCAAAATGTCCAGTGGGCTCTGGGCCTCCCACACTCATCTCTAAGGTTGCAGTATGCTTTGGGGCTTCATTTTCCTTCAGGGATGCTTCTGACATTCGTTTCATTCTACTTGCTCCTAAAAATGTCTGGGGAGAGGACTGGCAGGGGTCAGGGATCCCATAGCTGATAGATCTTGGTTCAGGTCCTGTTTAGGGATCCTTCTGCCAGGGCCCACCAGACTCAGGGGTTTCCCCTCCCCTGCAAGGTCTCCTTCCATGAGCTTTGCTTTTTCTTTCTGCTCCTCAGTTTCCCCATATATAAAATTAGTCTAATGACCCTACCTTGATGGGCAGTGCCGTATAGTCTAATGGAGAGCACATACAAGCTAGAAGTAGACTGCCCTGAGATCAATGTTAGGCCCTACCATTTCCCAGCCATCTATTTTTCTTGGAGAGTTATTTCACTTTTCTGAGCCTCACCTTCCTCACCTGGAAGATAGATATGGTTATATGCCCTCAAAGATGTCCGTCCATCAGTGTCTGTGTGGACTCTAAACAAACCTGCAATTCAAATCTCAGTTCTGTTACTTTCTATCTCTGTGACTTCAGGCAAATTAATCTCAGGGAGTTTCAGTTTTCTCATCTGACATAGGGGATAAAAACCTTATGGGTTAATGGTGCTAATTAAATGAGATAATAGGTGGAAAACACCTGGCACTGGCACATAGTAGGCATTCAATAGGTGGAGGCTATTGTTCTTTCCACTACTTCTCAGAAGAACAAAAGCCCAAGTGTTTGGGGCTGGGTGCAGTGGCTCACACCTGCATTTCAAGCACTTTGGGAGGCCGAGGTGGGCAGATCATTTGAAGTCAGGAGTTTGAGACCAGCCTGACCAACATGGTGAAACCCTGTCTCTACTAAAAATACAAAAATTAGCCAGGTGTGGTGGTGCACACCTGTAATCCCACCCACTTGGGAGGCTGAGGGAGGAGAATCATTTGAACCCGGGAGATGGAGGTTGCAGTGAGCAGAGATTGTGCCACTGCTCTGACCTGTGCAACAGAACTCAAAAAAAAAAAAAAAAAGCCCCAGTGTTTGATAACAAAGGTATAGTAGTGCCTGGTGGGAAGAAGCAGCCTTGTCCCAGATTAGACTTTGGTGCCACTGGGTGTGAGCACAGTCAACTGGGCTAGATTCTCACCACCCCCAACAGGTTGCTGTCTATCATACATTCCTACTGAGGAGGTTCCAAAAATTCCATGCATTCCAGCACACCGCCCTTGTCAGCCACACTTATACATTATGCAGTTAGAAGAATATTCACTTGCCAGCTAGGTAGCTCTGGAGTCTCTCCATCCCTACTGTCTTGCACCTCCTACTTTACCTTAAGAAGATATAGACACCCTGAAACACAAATTAGAGCTCATAGCTACCATTTACCGAGTGCTTTCTATGTTCCAGGGACTGTACCAGGCACTCCATCACGAGCCTATAAGGTAGGAATTGTTATCCCCATTTTATTGGTGGGAAAACTGAGGGTCAGGTAGATTAACTTGCCCAGGATGACATACTAAGAAAGAACAAAGCCAGGACTTAGGCCCAGGCCTGACTCTGAAGCTTGTATACCTCCTCAGCTGTCTACACTGCCTCCTCTGAATTCACAGAGACTTGATACACTTTTGCCACTCACACTCTAATCATTGGGATCAGGTTGAGGGTCACAGACCAGCACCTTCACATACAGGGCTCTTTACACATATCCTTGCTCTGGAGAGTCATTTAGCAATAGAACTGCAGAAGACTTTAGCCATCACCTGTCTGGTGATGGGAGGTGAAGTGGCTTGCCCAGAGTCATACAATATTTAAGAGACAAAGTGGCTAGGCACAGTGGCTCACGCCTATAGTTCCAGCACTTTGGGAGGCCGAGGTGGGCAGATCACCTGAGGTCAGTAGTTCGACACCAGCCTGACCAACATGGAAAACCCCGTCTCTACTAAAAATACAAAATTAGCCGGGCATAGTGGCGCATGCCTGTAATCCCAGCTACTCGGGAGACTGAGGCAGGAGAATCGCTTGAACCTGGGAGGTTAAGGTTGCAGTGAGCGGAGACTGCGCCATTGCACTCCAGCCTGGGCAATAAGAGTGAAACTCTGCCTTAAAAAAAAAAAAAAAAAAGGGACAAAATAGACACATAAACAAAAAATCAGTAATTGACAGATAGAGAGGAAAAGAGAACAGTCAGAACAGCAACAAAAAAATAGAAGAAGGGAGGGAGGGGATCTTACTAGGCTGGTGAATGGGCTGTTTTGTACTCCTTCAGGGTAGCTCAGGAGTCATTTTGCCATGTAGGCAGAGGCTTGGAGGTAACCATCTCTCAAAGTCTGTTTCTCAGCTCTGGGATTCTAGGGATACCTTGTTCCCAGGTCCTTAGTGTTGGCTTTACAGAAAGGTCCACAGGCAGCCCTGCCAGGACATGGGGCAGAGGTAACCCAATCCAAGCTGCCCCACACCTGTTCCAGCCTCTCCTCTGGACACTTAGGCCACCTTCAGTTTCGCTCTCTTGGCCAAGTCACCCCAGTTTGCTCCCACCCCTCCTCTCTACCCACATC